AGGGAGACATTTATTTTGCAGTGCAAGCTGTATGCATAACCTAATCAATGCTTTTCATAAATAAGAAACACTGTGTGTTAGTATTGAAATCATTGAATAGGTTATGTTTACAGCTTGCACTGCAAAATAAATGTCTCCCTTCTGCATGGTGAGACCCATTTATTAAATTAATGTTTTGAATAGTAATATTGGTAACATAGCTTTGAATCTACAGTATGTTTTAATAAATGAATAATTTTTATATAAGAATCTTATCATAAATTAATTAAATTAAATGATAAATCATATTTAATAAGAAAATTATATTATATCAAACAAAAGTCAAACATTATTTATTTATTGCAAATTTACAATAGTGTGTTCAAACTATTTTAATTAAATTATAAATAATTACATTTTAAATAAAGTCTATCAATTGTAATTATTTACCTGCTTTTATAACTATTTAAATATAATTTATAAATTAAACAAAATAATTAAGTAAGTATGTTTACTTAATAATGTAAATTTTATAGATTTTAGTTTGGTAGACAATTTTGAGTGAACTGATAGTAGCTGTTTGCAGATAACCCTGGTATTTTGCCAACTTGTTGCTGGATGTTAGTAAATACGGTTGAATTGATTGAGCTTATTGTCGAATTACGACCATACACAATTGCATTTTCTAAATAAAATAATTTTTAAGCATTAGAAATTTTATAAATAATTTTTAAAATAAGCAGATTAATAATTTAAATTTTAAACTCAACTTACGGACAATAGTGTGTCCATTTAAAAGCAAACACGAATATGTTAGCAAGTACGTTTGATAGTCAGTGTCCAGGATGAATAACTGACCACCTATTAAAAATTATATTTATTAATTTAAATATTAAATTAGCATTAAAACCTTGCATAATATACTTACTTGCAAAGCTACTATTCAAGTAAGATATTATTGATGGTGGTGATTGCACAATATAGCAAGGTTCCATATTCAGGCCATAAGATCGGTTGGTACTGTTAATATAATAATTTCATTAAATGTTAATATTATACTAGTTAATAAAGTAAAATAAAGTTTTCATATACTTCATATTGATACTCATATACTGGTAATTAATTGTACTGTTAGTATTGCGTGTAGGGGTGAGCGTGATATACGGGCACTTATAACCGGTTATTGTATTGTTCGGGGTAATGGCTAATTCGTACCATTGTCCAGCTAACTATAAATATAGTTATAGTTAATGATATTTAAAAATTATTGTATTATTAATAAGCGAAATTATTACCGAGCTGAAATTCACAGTAGGCATTCCCGTTACATTTGGGCATCGAGTTTGAGTGCCATTTGTAATGGTCAGATTAGTCTGGGCCAAACTATTGCCATAAAATGTGATGGCTAAAATTAAATAAAAATTAAACATGTCCCACATTGTAAAGTATTAAGTAAAACTTTTTAAATATTGTTAACAATTTGTTTTTTTAATATAACTTTTTAAATAGACATAAAAAATATAACTTATAATTGTATTTTGAAACTACTTTTGAAACTGTATTTATAGTGAAATTGTTTGTTATTTTTAAATAAAATTTTTTAAATATCACGATAATTTCAATAGGTCCGGGTTTCAATATAATAGTTATTGTAAACAAGATTTTTATTTTTTGACAATGATATAGTGTACAATTTATAATGTAATTAGAATTAATTTCATTATATTTCAATATTACTTTTTTGAGCTAGTTATCTATTAGCTACGAGCTTGTTTCCTATCTTAAAAATACCATGTTATAAATAAAATATTTAAATTATGATAATAAAATAAAGTTAAACTATTGCGAGATAATTAACTATTTAGAAATATTATAATTAATGTTACAATTAGAATAATATTTATAATTTATTTATTGTCATTATTAACATTAAAGTAAAATTTTAATTATAGACACAATTAAGCATTTATTATACACTATTTGGTACAACTGTATAAACAGATTGTTATAAAATTTTTAATTTGACAGTTAAAACAGTAAATATTGTTTAACCTTACAACCTAATTTAAGTTTACATAAGAGTTATAATTATAGATATTAAGCTTAATTGCCATCACATTTTGAAAAGTTATTAAAATATCAAAATACATATAATCGTTGGCTACTGAGGATTGACTTTAAGACCCAGTTGGACCCACTTGGACCCAGACCCAGTCAAAGTGAGAGAGCTCCATTACTTTTTAATTATTAGTAAATATTAATTTTTTATTAATTTTTTATAAAGAAACTAACATGTATTATGGTTTAATTTACTAATAATTTAATAATTATAAACTAAATTCTATTTAAATTGCTCTCTCACTTTAGTAATTTACCATTATATTCTCCATATACCCTAAGAAAGTGAGAGAGCAATTTAAATAGAATTTAGTTTAT